AGTTGTGCTGTGTAGTACATGAATGAATAAAAATGTGCCAATGTATACATTGGTTGTGTCTTTTGTGTTCATGTGAAAAGGTTTTTGAGGGGGAGAACCACAAGCAACATAACTTACCAGTTATAACCAGTATATTGTTTTGAATTTATTGCACCAGTGTGTAATACTATGTTGTAGTGTGTGTTTTTTTTTTAAAGCTTGTGTGTGTGATGTCTGAGGGAAAAGTTTGGTTTTTCAGCAAGAGTGAATGGTTTTGAGTGTAGAGCTTCATTCTGACCTGAAAATAGGATATTTGGGGAATTGGGTGAGACGTTATGGATTTGTGTTTACTGTTTTGAGAATATGAGGCATAGTTTCAAGAAATGTGTTTAAGCAATCAAGAAAAACTGTAATTAAATAATATCAATCAAATATTGCATACTTATTTAGAGGAACATTTGACTACTTGACTAAATCTTGAAATATTACATTTCTTCAAAATATTGCTTTTTATATTCAAACTTTTATCACATGATGTGGAATAAAATAATTGATCTGTATTTTTATAATGTGTGATTTTTTTTACATTGTGTAAATGATTAAGAGACTTTTTGATGTTCAGAGCTGGTCTTTTACCATCAGTACACCTCCTGGATGGGGCCTCGTCAGTGTCCTGGTCCACCTCACCCTGCTCCACCTGCTCATCCTGAGCTCTGGTGGATTTGGGACGAAACATACAACAGAAGAAAGAGGCAAACCTCCGAAACCTCTTGCTCTTCCTCTTCTTCTTGTCTCCCTCACCAACACACACAGGCGTCTTGTCGGAACGAGGATGGACCTCCGCCTTGTGGTCGGTGAGTGTAAGTGATGTAAATAACCCTCAGTTATTTATTCGTTTGGGGTTTAGCATATCATTATTATATTGCTTGTTATATTTCTGTATTTAGTTAATAATGGTTGTGTCTATTTAATTTGGAAATCATAATTTGCCCGCATTAAGTTACTGTTCCTATAGAGACCTTTATTATGAAAGGGCAGCTCGCCGGACCTGCACAGAAGTCATGTTGTTGTCTCGATCGCACATAGATGGAGATAAGGAACCATGCGCTCATGTTGCTATGGAGTTAAATTAAGGCATTAAGAGGCACAAGCTCTTATGGTGTGGTGTTGTGGTATTGTGGATACAAAGGAAGAAAATGAACACAAAGAGCCATACACAAACATCAGTGGAGGAGTTGATTTTCTTTCATTCAACCGGGCTACTAAAGTAAGAGCTTTCCTTATCCATATGATACACTGATGTAAATGTTGATCACTCAAAGACTGATGTAAAGTAGTGGCACTCTGGTAAGAGAAATGGAAGGATCAGATGATATGTCTTTACAAAAGAATACAGATGTAGAGCAGATGAATATAGAGCAGATGGAAACCCCTCATGAAGGAACAGACGGAGGGGAGCTACGTTGCTCTGTCCGTAAACGGATCCCAACAGAGAGAATGCTCGTCTTTCAAGGTGATGAGGCCCAAAGTAGGGCTGTGCTATTAATCGCATGCGATTGTCATGCACATCTCGTCAGTAAAGCCTGTTCCGTGATTGGTAGTAAATCGCCATCACCTGCTTTCAGATGGAGCAGCATTTAATGCACAGAGCCGTAGTTCATTGACAAGCTAGGCAATATCATGTTCATAATCGAATGCGATTCATCTGCGATTATGGACGCGATATTGCCTAATTGTCAGTGAACTAAGGCTCTGTGTATTAAATGCCGCTCCATATGAAATCAGGTGATTGCGATTTACTACCAATCACGGAACCTGCTTTACTGACGAGATGTGCATGACAATCGCATGCAATTAATTGCACAGCCCTAGCCCAAAGGGCAGAGAAAAGGTTTGTACATCTGTATGATCAGTGGAAAGCAGAGCCTCGCAGGACAAGGGAGCAGCTGAAATCAGACATCTCTGAGAGAGAACTTGCAATGCTTATAGACACTTTAGAAAAGGAAAGGGATAATGTGATGAACCTATATGGCAAGGTTCGAGTTCACAAGACTCCAAGCAATGAGACCAGGCGACGGATCGATGCATGTGAAGCTGTAACAAAGGACATTTTAAAGACTGCCTTTGAGAGGATTTCAGGCATTGATGGGGACTTTGACGGTGTAAAGGTACGACAGCGTCTTCGTGAGCTGCTCGATCAAGATTATGCCCACTCTGTCTATGGATCAACAGCCTCAAATTATGGCTCCACATCTAGTGTAGATTATTGATACTGGTCAAATGAGTAGAAGGAAAGGATACTGAAAGAAAAGATACAGCTTTTAGAGGAAAAGCAAAAGTGAGATCTTGATGCTCAGAAGGATGAGCTAAAAAGACTTCAAGCAGAGAAGGAGATAAAAGCAGCTAGAGCAAGGTTGGAAGTCTATAATCAAGAAGCAAGCATTGAGCCTGCAGATAACATCAAATGTCTGATTCATCATGTGACGTGACGTGACGTGACATGTGGCCAAGTATGGTGACCCATACTTGGAATTAGTGCTCTGCATTTACCCATCCAAAGTGCACACACACAGCAGTGACCACACACACTGTGAACACACACCCGGAGCAGTGGGCAGCCATTTTTGCTGCGGCGCCCGGGGAGCAGTTGGGGGTTCGGTGCCTTGCTCAAGGGCACCTCAGTCGTGGTATTGAAGGTGGAAGAGAGCACATTCACTCCCCCCACCTACAATCCCTGCCGGTATGAGACTCGAACCCACAACCTTTGGGTTACGAGTCAGACTCGCTAACCATTAGGCCACGACTTCCCTAGTGAAACAAGAACCAGTGTACTCATCTTCAGTTAAGTCAACACTCGAAAGGAAAAAAATCATCACCACCTCAATGCTGATGTGTCTTACCTTACACAGGCTGTCCAGGACAGTATGACACTTAATAGACTTCCGATACCAGAGCCTACAATCTTCAGTGGGAGCCCCATTCAGTTTATTGAGTGGAAGGCATCATTCCAATCGCTCATTGATAAAAGGCATGTCTCTTCAACAGATAAGTTGTATTACCTGAAGAAGTATGTAACTGGTCCTGCTCAGAAAGCTTTAGAAGGCATCTTTTACAGAACCGATGAAGAAGCCTATAAAGATGCATGGAAAATACTTCAAGATCGTTATGGACAACCTTTCATCATACAGAGAGCATTCAGAGAAAAACTTGCAAGCTGGCCCAAGATTCAGCCTAAGGATGCCAATGGACTTTCTCAGATTTCCTCATGAGCTGCCTCATGTGAAAGGACTGGGAATCTTAAACGATTGTGAAGAGAACAGAAAGCTTGTCAGTGGCTGCCCGCTGGAATCGTTAAGCTACCCAAACCCTGAGTGAGACTCAAGAATTCCCAATCTTTCATGAGTTTCCCAGCTTCATGTCGGCTGAGGCTGAGATAGCCTGCAACCCAATTACGTCCTTCAACGTTCTTCATGCGGAAGCTAATAAGGAGAAACATAATCTCAAGGCTAATAAGACCAAAGCCAATGTCTTCCATACGAAGATGGTCACAAAAGCAAGAGAATCCGTGGTCCACTACTAAAGTCACTAAACCATGCATTTTCTGTCAAGACAGTGAACATCAAATTTACACTTGTTCTAAATGTACTGCAAGGCCTCTTGAAGAACGAAGACAGTTCATCAGGGACACAAAGGTGTGCTATGGATGTCTGAAGCTCGGTCACAGTGCCAGAGACTGTCGTCACAGACATACCTGTAATACATACAAAGGAAGACATCCAACCTGTTTGCATGACGACAGCTTCGTCAAAAGAATAAAGCCACCCTCTGTTCGGAACTCTGAGAATGC